AGCTGGCAGGGAAGGTTGCAAGTGGAGGGGACAGAAGGGAGCTGAAATCCTTCTGCAGTCTGCAGGAATGGAGCTCAAATCCTGAAGATTTGAGCTCCGTTCCTCCAGCCCCACAAAAGATTTCCTTACGTGCATGGACAGGAGGGGAAACCCTTTGGCAGACTGCAGGAACATTTGAGAGCAAAAGGGCTGCTTGTTGGGAGGATTTCTGTGTGGATCTGAAATTCTTCAAGCAGCTCTTTCACTCTGTCTGCTTAACAAACTGGGAGATTGCTTAACGACCACAACCGGGAGTGCCCAGATTGCGGTCATTGAGGGAAGCAGTCACATGGGTGCCTCACTTAATGACCACTTCACTCAATGATTGAGATTCCGGTCCCAATTGTGGTCGTTAAGCGAGGACTATCTGTAAGAGAGGCCTGAGCCTGGGCTGAGAAATTAGTTTGAATAAACATCTCAGACAGGCCCTCCCTAGTTCACATGAAGATAAACTGTGGGAGAGGGATGCACATTGAGTTGTAAGATTCTGTTCCTATAGCTGTTACAATAAAAGTAGTCCTGACCTATATGGCAGTGGTTTCTTAGTCTGGTCTACCTTGTTGGGCTGACACTATCCAGCTCCTAAAATGTATCTTCTAATTAAAATCTGTAATCATCTGCTACACCTCTTTTTAATATATCTCAGTCCCCTCAAAAATTTTGCATTGATAGTGAGAAGTTATTTCTCAGCAACCATGAAAAAAATTAAACTCCAGGTCCAAGTCAATTACACTGAAGAGTTTTGAAGGAGGTGGTAGATGTCACTGCTGGGCTCCCTTTTATAATCTTTGAGAAATTATAGAGGACAGGCAAAGTGACACAGGATTGGATAAGGGAAAATGTTGTTCCTATCTTCAAAAATGGTAAAAAACAGGAGTCAGGTAATCACAGAAGTCTGAACAGACTGCCTCAGTTTGGACTCTCTTTTGCTGAAGGTGTTTAATCAGAGGTTGGATGGATGTCTCTTTGGGATGCTATAATAATAGATTGCTGCACTGGACAGCTGGTTGGACTAGACCAGTGTTTCTCAACCTTGGGAACTTTAAGATGTGTGGACTTCAACTCCCAGAATTCCCCAGCCAGCATCTTAAAGTTGCCAAGGTTGAGAAACATTGGACTAGACGATCTTCACGATATCTTCCAACCTCTACATTCTATGATTCTAATGAAAATGTTTCCCTAGATATGAAAGTTAGAAAAAATTAATGATCTATAAATATTATCAACAATGTAAGATTAGATTTTGTAAGAACAGCTATTAAGACTAAAAGATACAGAGAGAACACCCAAGGCCTTCTCTTGAATTCTGATTTACGTGAACAACACACTGAGGTAATTTCAAAATAAAATACACATTATCAAACTTACCCCAACAAACTCGCCCATCACAAAAATGTTGTTAGAGGTCATGTAAGCCACAAACATTTTGTGAAATATGAAATCTATATCCCTGAACTCCAGCTGCCCCAATCTACTATTCCTAGCAGATAAGATTACTAGGAGACCATTATTAAGGCTTGAAGGATTTGTGATTCTGTATTCCTTAACTGGTTTGTGCATATGCTTGCTTAAAAAAGAGTGGTACAATATTTAGCCCTTTTTTACTACTCTAGACAATTCTATACCAAAAAATATTATTTTAAAAATTAAGAAAAAGCACTTTGATCCAAATTAGTATCTTATAAAGGATTCTACAAGCAACTGTACAAGCTCATTTTCAAGAATTCATTCTTGTTATTCCTAAAAATTTGGTTTTTTCTTCCCCCCCGGCAAGAGCCATTTACAACCTTTTTTTTTTTAGCTTAATTCCCAAAGAGGTTCAGCACATAAATTATTTATTATTTAAATATTCA